TAAATTTTAGTTTAACATTTTTTTTCAAAAATTATTTTATTATTTAGAAAACGAAGAGAAGGAATTGATGTGTTGGATCGCAAACAAAAATGGAGAAGAATTGGTGTGAAAATCATTTTCTTCATTACTTTAATCTTTTCAATCATTACTCTTCTCTTCGTTGGAGCTTTAGTTCTTCCATTTTTCTTTACTAATGCAATACCAATGATTCTTGCTTATATTTTTATGGTTATGACTTATGCATACGTTGTAGTTACATTAATTATGATCTTTTTATGTTATCGATATATTACAAATTTGATTTATCCAAAGAAAAAAGATGAAGTGACTTTTATGGAAAGACAAATGAAACGATTGGCGTATAATCCACAAATAATTCTTCAAGCAGCTTTTCGTTTACTTCCATATTTAGTGTCGATATTATTTAATTTATCACAATTTTTGTATTATGGATCGGATTATTTGGGTGCAATTTCATTGGAAGCAGATAAAAGAGATCCAAGTGCATATTTTGAACGAGTACTTAATTCACCACAAATGGCTCATACAGTATTGAGTTCAATTTAACAATCTTTCTAAACAATTTTTATTTGAGACTCAGATTCATTTCTTTCATCTGAAGTTATTTTACAACCGTGATTCGACCATTTATGTCTTAGAACGAACTATCTCTTTCTTTTTTCTTCAATAAAAATTAATCGATTAATATGTTTTGCGAGACAAAATCATGTATTTTATCAAAAATCGTATCTGAATTATCAATAACAATTCTTCACTTTTGTTTCATAATTTATGACAAAGTTCAATGAAATTTTTAATTGAACACGATTTGTTTATATCGATTCTGATCTCGTCTAGAGAAATTCGATTATTCATGTCCGAAGGTAAAATAAAATGTGATAACAACCTTATTCTTATAAAATCATCAATTTTAATGAAGGACAAATCGACAAGGGCTTTATTTCTATCTTTCGAAATAAACACCCAAATGAAACCTTAAGAAAAATATACAAAAACCTTCATAACCATAACTTATATATTTAGAACGAACAGAAACAACATAACTTTTTGTTTTATTCATTCAAATAAGATAAATGAGTGCAACATCTTCTACTGCTCCGACTGTAAATCCTGCTCTTATTGCAAATCAAGATTATCATACGGGAATTCAACCATATTTTCTTTTACCAATTCAATTCTTATTCTACGATTTCTCTTTACGTTTCTGGGATAAAGCAGTTTATAACACTTGGTTTTTACCTGGTGAACTAATTGAAGTTATAAAAATCGAAGACGACGATGAAGAAGAAGAATCAATCAGCACATCATCTCGAAACTTTCTGACAATTTCTACTATATATATTCTTCAAGAATTAAAAAAATTTTCATATAAAACAACAACTAAAAAGAAAGTTCCAACGTTTGATCTATTCGATGTATTCTTCTCAGTTTTACCTTTACTCGCACACACTATTTGGTATTGTATAGTTCAATCTTCATGTGAATCATAGATAAATGGTGGAACCGGATGGAATTGTTATTCTTTATTTGGTTATCGAATTTATAATTATGTTTTTACTTCATTCACAGCTTTTTCTTATACATATATTTCAAAATGACTTCTTATTCGAGAGAAACTCAAATATGGTATTCCACTTATTCAAAGAAAACACAAATGGAGAAAAAACTGTACGACATTTGTGTTTTATTTTTCACTAATATCTTCAACAATAACTTTTATATTTGTCGGAGGAATTTGTCTTCCGTATTATTTTACTCATGTTTTACCAATGATGGTTGTTTATGTGTTTATCACAGTTATTTTTGCGTATTTTGTCGCAGCTGTCACTTCATTATTAAGAGTTTTTACATATATAACTGAAGAAATCTTTTCGTTTGAAGATGAAAACTTGAATTTTTTGAAAAGACAAATGAAAAATTTTCATTATCGACCACAATTAGTTATTCAAACTGGAATTCGTATATTTCCATATCTTATAACAGTTTTGTTCAATTTATCTCAATATTTTTATTATTCATATGATTATTTCTCAGCTTTAAACAATGAATTTGAAGCGAGAGATCCAAATGTATATTTTCAAAGAGTTCTCAATTCACCACAAATTGTTCATACAATTTTAACATTAATTTAAATCATTTTTCACATGAAATTCGATTTATTTCAATTTGACATTCGATTGAAACATTATTCGAAATCAAAATTCCCTTTTGAACTTCATATCGATTATAAAAACGTTATAATTTTCTTCTCACAATTCTATTTTAGATAATTTTTATATAAAAATTTGATTAAATAGTTTGCATATTCGAATGTTTATCCATATCGATTGTTCGAGCCAAGAAATATGCGAATATAACAACAATTATCTACAAAAATAATCGATCAAAAATAAGTTTTAGAAAAATATTCTTACAGTTAAGAGAAAACATGGAATGTAGATCAATAGAGTTATTGCAACAGTTAATGTTGAATATCTTTTCTTTGTATTGTCAACATTTGTTGTTGAAATAAAGAAAAATATGAAATAAATCAATATTCCAATACCAATTACACAAATAATAAAAATTCCAACAAGAACAAACTAAAAAGATTCATTAAATATAAATATTTATTCTTTTGAAATAAATTTACTATTCGTAAATATTTCACTGAACATCGATGAGCAGAGAAAAATCCAAATCCATAATAAATAACAATTAGAAGAGCAATTAAAAGTTCAATTGTACGTCCAATATCATATAAATATGCACCACGTCCGAAACCTGACAATGAAAGAGCCAAAACACCCATTGTCAATACCTTTGAATAAAATTCAAGTTATTTTTCTTATGTTGAAAGTGAAGAATTTGAATTTACAAGAGATAANAATTTTTTTAATAATACAAAATAAAAAAAAAAAAATACAAAAAGAATAAACAAAAAACATAAACACAAAACTCTTACAAAATATAAATAAAAATAAAACAATATTCAATTAATTTAACTTATTGAGTTTTACCAGTGAGAATATCTTTGTAATGCATAATTGAATAAAGAATCCTAAACAAAGTCGAATCAGATGGTAAGATATCGTACATTTTCCTTAAACATCCAAAAAGTGGAAGATTTTATATGAAACGATGATTAGTGATGTTGTCATTATTCATTTTTATTTTGTTTAAAATTGACTATGTATTGGATCTTTCTGGAAATGTCATTGGTTATAAAGGTACTCGTCAAAATATCTGATTTTATAAAAAATAATCAAATGAGAGTATTTATCTTCATTGGATTGGACTTTACGAGTGATTTTTATCAATATAGATATTAATTGAATTGATATTTTCTTCAAATGTAACTCGTGAAGATATAGGAACAATACATATTGTTGATTCTCTAAGCAAAAAATACCGTAAGAGAGACCTTATCTTTCAATCGATCTTGGCGAAGAATTTTCTTGATATAGAAACTTGAAAAACTTTATCTTTCGAGTATAATCGAATTGAAATCAAAGACAACTCAATATGTCTCACAATCAATAGAAAATAATATCGTAATAAAAGTGAATTCTTTCAACTGTTTCAAATGAATATTTCTCTATAGACAATAATGACTCTCCAGATAACTGAAAATAAAAATTGAAGATGATAGAATTGTTTTGTTATGTGATATTATTGAAAACTAATCAAGTAAATAGATATGAAATTGATGTGTGATTAAATTAACTCCATTGAATTTATGTGAAAATGGAATTAAACAAAAAAAGAAATCGAATCTTTGGCTGAACTTCTGCAAAATAATCAAATACAGACGAATTCTTGTTGAATTTCTTCGAGAGAATTTTTGCATTAGACGCTGATGACAAACAACATCGGAGAAAATCGTATCGTAGATCACAGATCAAAGAAATTAGCTGATGACAAACAATAGAATAAAGTTGCTGAAAAGATCTTTTTCACATTTTTTTAAATGTTAAAGTTTGAAAATTATTTTCGATATAACTCATGTTTAAACATTGCAGATAATCAAATAGATGGAATCAAATATCTCATTGATGTTTTAGAGAAAAATCATGTGAGTAGAAGAAGATTTTTCATTCACTGAAATATTCGATTTGATTTAGATTTTCAAATAAACTTCGTTTAAAAGATAATCAAATTCACGATTGACAGAATTCAATATTTAACACATTTGAAAACACAAAATCCGACGATTAATTTTATGATACATTTCGAATAAATGAAATATAAAAAGAGAGAGAGAGAGAATTGAGTAGTTATGATCGGTCTCAACTTCTCAAAGATCATATTTGAATGATTTTAGTTAAATGTAAAATAATGATAATATTTATATTTTTCTTCAAATGTATTTTATGTTTACAGAAAGAAAATCATAATTAGAAATGATTTTGGGACATAAACTTTTTTAGAAACAGATTTTCCAGATATTGAAAAATAGTTCGACAAACAAGTTGGAAAAAGAAAGAAATGTCAACAGTTTTTATTAAATATCTTTTAAAAATAATCGATCATTGAAGTTGACATAGAAATTATTCGCGATTACAAGTGATAAAATGTCAAATTTATTTTTCATCATTATCCTTTTATCAATCAGTCAAATAGAAACAATATCATATCGTATGAAAATCATTTTCATGAATATAATCTCTTGATTTTCTCTATTCTATTTAGCAATATCTTATAATCTTCCGAGATTTTGCCAAAATATTTCATGGGAATTAAATCCTGAAAATTTTCCAGATAATAACTATTCGAGTGGTCATGTTAATAGTCTATTCATTGATACTAATGATACGGTTTATGCAAGTATAAGAAGTTTTGCAAATATTTATGCTTGGTTGAAAACAAAAGTACGTCTTCAAACGAACAGTTTCAGTTCCTCTGATGAGCCATATTCACTTTTTGTTACTAATACAAATGAAATCTATGTTGATCTGACGAATAATTATCGAATAGAGAAAACAAAACTGAATTCAAGTAATAAAACGAATGTCATGAATAATTCTGGACCTTGCGCAGGACTTTTCATCGATATCAATAATACTTTTTATTGTTCAATAACTCAATCTCATAAAGTATTGAGAAAATCATTGAATAATTATTCAAGTTCAACTGAGATCGCTGTTGAGAATAGATCATCATTAAATGGTCTTAATGGCCCTTGTGGAATTTTTGTTACTGTTAACTTTCGATTATATGTAACTGAATGTGGAAATCATCGAATTCAATATTTTGAATGGAAATCAACGAATGGAACAATAATTCGTGCAAGTACTGGATTATCAAATGTTCCACTTAATTGTCCAACTGGAATAATAATTGATGCTGATGAAAATTTGTTTATTATTGACAATGAGGGATTCCGTATTATTCAATTTCGATTTGGGGAATTCACTTGTATAATTGGATGTTCTCGTGCGGTGAATAGAATTACTACATTACCAATTTTTCCAGAAACACTTAGTTTTGATAGTTATGGAAATATTTATGTAGCAGATCGAAATGGTGATGCTCGAATTCTGAAATACAATCTTCGAACAAATTCTTGTTGTAAACATCAATTTTATATTGAAGAAAGTATTTTCATATATTTTTAGATGAATCAACAACTACAAATTCATTGGATATTTCGACATCAACAATGTTTGAATCGACTTCAATCATTTCTACTAGTAATGAAGGTAATATAACATTTCTCACAACAAGTTCATTCAACAGAATTTCATCACCATCTGTATTTCTTCCTTCTGTATGTCCTAATTCGACATTAATTGGTATTCATTGTAATATATCTTTAACATTATGCGATCTTTGTCAAAATAATTCTACTTGTCAGACTATAAATGGAATGTTTTATTGTAATTGTTTATCTGGTTTTAATGGAACACAATGTCAATTTGATTATCGACCATGTATATTAAATCGATGTTGGAATAATGGTATAATACTTCTTGAAATCATTTCTGAATTTTTTATTTATTTGTAAAGGAATATGTAATCAATTGACCAATATAACATTTCATTGTTCGTGTCAATTGAATTGGACTGGAATTTATTGTGAAAAAATGATTAATTTTTGTGAAAATGTCACTTGTGAAAATGAAGGTGTTTGTCGATCATTATTAGGTGATTATCAATGTGAATGTTTGAGTGAGAGTTATTCTGGTCGTCACTGTGAAATCAAAGAAACAAAATTGATTGTTGTTCAAATGGTTTCAAAATCTTTTGCTGTAATTGCCATTTTGGGAATGTCAAGTATTGTGGCGTTTATTTTTATTATGGATATTATGAAATATTGTTTTGGTATTAATCCAATACGTGGTGAATTAGAAAGAATACGAAGAAAGAAATCACGAAAAAAGTTCAAAGCGCGTGTGATTCAAAAATTCGTTTACAAAGATAAAACATTCACCTCTCAAGTTTAGAAAAACAGAAAATTGATTTTCATTGTTACCTCGCAATCAAATGAACTAATTGTAGATCAGTTATCATTCATTTTCTGTAAATCAACAGTTTATTCGTTCTTATGAAAGACTTCAAAGGGGAAAGTTTACGACATGAATCGTCTTGTCATCATTCAATCAATACTTTTTTAAAAATTAATTAGTACAAGTTTTCTTTTCATTTCAGCTTTTGTGTATACATTACGAATGTCAATATTGTATAAAATAATAGAAATCTTATGTCCAAATTCTCGTAAATGTGATTTTTGTTTTAAATCATAGTTTTTGCGTGACATAGCAGGAAAATTATCTAGTACATTCAACTTTTGAATAAGAATCAAATTCTAATATAGAGATGAAAAGAAGTTTGTAGGAATGTAAACATAAGTGTGTTATTATTGTGATAAATTAATCTCTTCTTTCACATAAATTGATAATCAGAAGATAATATCATTCCAGGTCATTGTATGTCGATCAATTCCGACTGGAATGATCGTTCTGGGAACAAAGAATGCAAGAATAAGAAGTAAATAGAAAGAGAACAATGTTGTAATCATCGTGTATGTATATATTGAGAAAGTATTTTTATCATAATTAGAAATCATTTCATATAGAGAATGAAATAGTTATTTTTACATTCATTTTATTCTGTCTTATCTCGTATGATGTCGAAGCTTTTGGTTCATTCGTCCGATGTTTTCTTCTATTTAGGAAATGAATTCAACAAAACAGAACTAAGAATTACAATTACTAACAAATCATATTTTCATAATTTCTAATTGCATCTTTTCATTTATTTTCCATAATTCATCTAGAAATAATCACACATAATAGAATACAGAAAGAAAGGTCAATGTTCGATGAGAAGGTTACAGAGGTGAATTATACAAGTCAATAAGCGTTATAACATCAAATTGTTTTTCTTTTCAACAAAATAAATAAATTTTTCTCGGAGAAGAAAAAATATGAAATACGTCTGTACTCAGAAAACCTTTTCCATAGGCAGTAGCTATAGAAAATATTCTTTTCTTATTTTATTGAACGTTCATATAGTGTCCTTCTGTATTATTTCAAGAAATCTACGTCTGTCATGTTTTTTTTCTGAATATAAACATTCGTCTGTTCTATTAATTTTTATTTTAGTTTAACATATTGGTTCTATGTAAAAAAAATGAGTGTGAATTGAGAAGAGACAACTGGAAATGAAAGTTTTTTCTCTAGAAAATCTTCTCAATCATTCAATATCAGATGTTTTTTAATTCTTATCTCTTCATATGAATATCACAAGAAATATCGAGAATGTATTTAACAGTGATGAAGGAAAAATGATGGATAATATTAATTTATGTCAAATGAATAAGAAAGAAAAAAACTTCTGTCTAAATTATTTCAATTAAACTAAATTTTAAAGATGTTCGGAAGAGAATCTATCTTAATTATTTCTCTATTACACTATAATTGCATCAACATTTGAATAAAATATGTGATCTATTCGTATAACTATTATCACTAACATAGATTCGAGAAAAAAAAACAGAATCTTTAATGGTGATGAAGAGATTGGTTCATGTAAAATAGATGCGACTGTTGTTCATCCAACAGGTTGTAATTATAATGGAACAGTAACACAAGTAATAATAGAATACTCATGTAACAAATCAAAATTCAACATTTTCAGGACCCAAAATTAAAGAGAGAAGAAAATGAATCAATGTCATTCACTTTTTATTGCTTAATAATTGAAGAATGTGTTATTTTTATGGAGAAAGTTCGTCAATAACAATAATGTGACAAATTGGTAATATGATTAAATCAATTAATTTAGTTGAATTTTTCCCCATAGTTTAATGGTTATTATAAATAACAAGATAATCCTCAAATATCTTTAATATTCTTAGAACAAGTTAATCAATCTATAAGTAATAATCTAAAATCATTACTCTATCGACAAACAAATGTTCAAGTGCCAATTGATATTCATTTATTTCAAATTTTAGTTACATTTACTTGTGTCACTAGTCTAAGTAATGATTGTTAAATAAAAATTTCCTTATATAAATAATTTCGTTCACAGTAAAATCGATGAATTAAACTAATAATTAAATATGAATTGAAATATCAGTTTGAGAACATATTCAAAAGAAACATTAACACCATTTTTATTATTTCTTTCATCTGATTTATATAGTACACATCATATATTCAATTTCACTTCGTTCATTATTTATTTGCATTGAAATTGTTTCTGTCGATGATTATTGACAATGTTCTAATTCAGTAACGAGATAAACAAAGTTTCTATTTTGTTTCTGGTTTTGACAAATCATTCTCTCTGTTTCTTTTAATATTAAACAAGTTCATTATTTTTCAGATATTCAATGACAAAGTATATCGTCGTTCACAAAACGTTTTCACTGTACCAAGATGAATTTTATACTTCAATGGAATTTGTACCATAGCTGATGAATTCGGCAGTTTCTCTTATATCATAAGACGTTCTTCGAAAATTTCAATGTCAACATCATCTTCTTCAAACTCTACTAATTCAAATTGAATAAAAACTGTACAGCCTTTTTTTATACATAATATTCAAGTTTCGATACACATGTGTCAGTCGAGATTGGACCTAAGAAAAATCCATTCTCATCGTATAGAGATTGAGGCGACAATACTCTAATGTATAAGAATCTCCAGTATGATCATTCATTCCTTCAATGCGATAAATCAAAATTCACGGTTCAGTAGAATATAATTGTATTTACAATTGTCGTGTGTTTCATTGTTCATTTATCAATATTATATTTGTTGTCTTCTTTGATTCATAATCGAGGACATTTTGTTTGTTTATTAATATTTACAGAAGAGTCAAAATACCATTAATTGACTGTTTGTTTTATTATCTTCATTTTCAGTTGTATATAAAGATCGACAAAAATGAATTTTGTTCAGAGTTCGATCACTGTGAAACTTCTTATAATGTTTTTTTTTATTAGATTGTCAACTGTCTCAACATCCATCAAGTTATGAAATACAATGATATTTCTGTTCGAAGTTTTTACGTGATTCAATACTTGTCGAATGTGAAATTTGTCTGATAGATCTAAACGATTAATCACAATAATAATAAATGAAGATATATTCATCGTGATTTCTCTTCATAGAACTTCAGTCACTTTTTGATCAATGACTTTCTATTTCTCTATGGACACATTTGTAGCAGAACTATCCAGAAACATGAGATGTTTCGTCTGTTTTCTCCCTTTAATGATCGAAATACCTTTTGTAAGTGTTATTTTATGACTCGACAGATGCGTATCACAAAGTTGATAGATTAAGACAACTTTACCCTGATTGCACGCGTCAAGAACTGTGATAACAACGCTGCGAAAGCCGTCGTAAACGATTGATTATCAGATATGTCAATGAAATTCATAACAGCACATAACTTAAAATAATAATAAGATGTCAATATCGTGAGATTTAGAAAGAAATGCATTGATTTTTCATCGAAATTGAACAAATGAACAAAAGTCTCTGATTTTAACATTTGATTTCTTATTTTTTTATTTGAACAGAATCAAAATCACAACAAATATCGTTTTCAATCGAACATATGATCTGCTCCGAAGACATTAATTTACATAGATTATAAATTGCGTCATGTTGTTGTTTATTGTCAAATCTATAAATGAAACATCTGATGAAATATTCTGCGTATCAGAACAAATTTGACTTACTCAACTGTTAATGTGAATACTGACGTAGATTCTGCGTTAGTCTTCGAACTGATTGCACCGAGATTTGCTAAAGTTTGGGCAAGTTGATGTATCGCCTGCAGATCTAAATTATTCCGCTCAGAAACGAACTACAATCTTTAACAATAATTATTTACGCTCGGAGTGAAGTGTAAATTTTAATTGATTTTTCGGCATTTCAATAATTTCGACATCATTAAAGATACTTTGTTGTGAATTATTCATATCATTCGAAATTGCATATTCTGACTCGAAATTGGAAACATCCAACAAACATTCGAGAAACGTTGAAGCACCTTCATAGAACGAATTGAACGTATCAACTGGAACGTGAAGTAATCCACTTAATTTCGATGACATTTTCTTCCAAAATGTTGTATTTTGCGAGACTGATCGAAACCATGCAAACATGAAATCTCGTTTTAAACATTTGGCAATTCCAAAAATCAATTCATTCACTCCGGACGGATCTTTTCTCACACCAAAATCTTCGTCCACGTATTCTTGACTATTGACCATTGTTATCAAAGCAACATTTCTATAATAAATCACACCATCTTCTTCAGTTGGTTTGATATTCGGATGAACACTCTGTACTAATCGTCGAAATTCATCGACGACAACTTGTCGATTTTTCCCTGCCCACATATTTGTACAAACAAGCGCACAAAAGATATTCTTCTTATAACATTCCGACAATAACCATGCGACATGTTCCAAAATCGCGAATGATCCTGGCGATGCACAGTAGATCATACACAATGGTTGAGTTTGTTCGATTAATGTTGCCATGTACGATCGGACATCGTCTTCGTTCCAAGATTCGATCCCCGGCGAGTCCCAGATGATTGTTTCATGTACTGTTTTTCCATGTGTGCATTCGTAGGAATATCGTTCGACACTTTTGGTTATGGAATTCAAACTCGCACTTGTTTTCGTTAATTTTCGTTGACAAATCGCATTGACTAGCGTACTTTTTCCTACACGTGCTGAACCACAGAGAAGAAGATTAGTTTGTCTTAAATTATCAACCATCTGAAAAAAAAAGAATCGTTTATTCAATCATAATTTTCGTTTTATCGCAATAAGAATAATTGGTATCAAACTTTTAATAATTTCTTTCCCATGTTCATCGTAAAATTCTTTTACAACGGGTTTTGCAATTTCAAAAAAGTCCATCAGTTGCTCACGCATTGCCACCCAAAACGATTGATTCTCAGCAACTGTGTAACACCAAGCTGCAGCTTGATCATTTTTTAATGAAATTAAAATCCCAAAAATCAGCTCATTAATTCCTTCAACATCTTTTCGAATATCCAAATCGACATCTTCATAAAGAATACTATTGACTGATGTACACAGAGCAACATCACCATAGAATCGAATTCGATTTTCATCTCGTGTCATATGATGATAACGCGAAAGTAAAGAATGAAAATCTTCCATAACTTGCTGACGTCGAGATGTTCCGCTGGAATATTTATTTGTGCAAACCAAAGCACAAAAGATATTGGAACTAATACAAGTATCAACCAACCATTGTAATTGATCCAACTTTGCAAATGAACCAGGAGAAGCACAATAGATCATACAGAGTGGTTTACTTTCGTTCATTATTTTTGAAAAATATGAACGAACGTGTTGTTCAGTCCACGATTCGATACCAGGTGTATCGTAAATTATGATTTTATATTGAATGGCACTGGCTTCGTCATCTCGATTAATCGTATATTTCTCCATTCGATCAGTTTGTGAATATAAACTCCCACTTGTTCGGGCAACTGGACGTCCACAAATGGCATTCACTAGTGTACTTTTACCCACACGAGCGGAACCGCAAACAACGATACTAAATTCTCTCGACATCTACAATATAAATAAACAAAATTTAATTAAACGACCTTCTCCTTCTAAAATCGTTGTTTTAAATACACTAAGAAATTCTCTGCAGTTTCAGACGGTGAAGTCATTACAAGATTTTTCAAGTCTGCCATTCGTAATGTAAAAAAGCCCCCAACTTTCTGACTGATTCTTTCCCAATAAGTTCGTCGATAGAGAACTGCATAACACCATCCAAGTAATTTCTCTTGATCGAGTGTTTCCATAATACTATGAATGAGTTCATCTATTCCTTGAACTGGTTTTCGTAGATCGGACAATTCTGGATCGTAATATTCGATTGAATTTACCATGGTACACAGTGCGCCATCGCCAAAGAAAGTCACTTTATGTGGATGATGAGGAGAATGTATCTGATTGGAATATTTGTCGATTTTCTCACCGAAGAAGGCCAGTTCTTTTTGAAATTCTTCGATAACAACATGTCGTTGTATTCCTGACCACATATTTGTACAAACTAACGCACAGAAGATATTTTTTAATTTACAATACTCTAAAATCGAATGAAGTTGATTAAGTTTAGCGAATGAGCCAGGTGATGCACAATAAATAATACAAATTGGATCGGTTTTCTGAATAAAATCCGTCATACTCGTCACTCCATCGTTGTTATTCCAATCTTCAATGCCCGGTGTATCATAAAATGTGATTTTGATTTGTTTACTCCATGAATTTTCTCTTGGTTTTATATTCAACACAAACGGTTGAATTTCTTTCGTACAGGAATTGAGACTTTGACTTGTCTCTGCTTTTCCATTCCCATTAGTTAACGCATTGATTAATTGACTTTTACCAACACGCGGCGAACCAATAATAAGGATATTAAACTTAAGATTCTCTACCACATGATTCACTTCTGACTGATAATATTTTTCACTTAACTTTTCTTGAATATGTCCTGCTTTATCATATAAACAATCAAATTTTCCTTTATCTGCTCCGCGACATAAATGCTCATTCCGAATTGAGAAAGATTCGCCACAGTGGGAACAGAAAAATCCTTGAGAAGACATCAAATTTAGACCACTGGTTTTTTTCGAGTATATAGCAATGCATAATCTCAGTTTTTCCAACTCTGTTTATACCATCACACAGCACACTTTAAGTACTACTCCTCTATGATTATTTCATCCTATGAAATAGATGTCGCCAGTGTCTCAAGGTAAATTCGTTCGTTTTTATTTTGACCTGATGAGAAAATTTATAAACGAAGAATTCATTAGTAAAATGTCGGGGAAACGGAGAGAGGAACAAACTAAGTTATTTCTTGTTTAATTGATAAACGGTATAAAATAGTTTCTGAAGATTCGAATTTCGAGGATAATCCCATTCAGCTAGACGACGAAAACCGACATTTTCCAATTCTTCTTGCCATTTTTGTCTGGTGCGATATTGATTTGAACTTGTACTTTTAATAATTTCTACTTTCTGTCTTTCCCAATTCGATGCGATGTCATTCGAATTATTTTCTAAATGAGCGAATTCACCAATCTTTGCAATTCTCATAAATGCCTGAATAAAATTCAAATATTTATTTGTAATTGAATGTTCAGTTTTACAATCATGTTCACGAAGGATAAGATATCCATTTGAACGTAAAATTCGAACAAATTCCAATAAAATCGAACGTAAATCAGCAACGCGATGAAGAACAACGAAACAAGTTATTAAATCCACACAATTGTCGACTAAAAGAGAAAAACAATGAGACAAATTCGATGGGAAATTTTTCCATACCGAGATGAATTCTCGATTGAGTTAAATCAATATTCACATGTGTAAGATAATTATTGTGACTGTCGTAATCATTTCCACCGAAAATATCATTCTTACGTAATTGAAGATATTCTCCAATTTCGACAGTGATGAAACCATCGCGACAAATAAAATCGAAATAACCACGAATAGATTTACGATCGATGACTCTACCCATAGGAAACGCTTCTTTTAGAATTAAATCTCGTACCGGGAAATTTTCGGGATCGAACATTGTTTGAATTTCAGCTAAACGTTTTTTTGATCGAGTTTGACTTTGCCATTTTTGAAGTGATTCTTTTGCACCTAAAAAATATTCTGTTACTTTGAAAAAACTCGCAATTTCAAATATAAAAACCAGGTTGTTGTTCCAATTCTTGAATAATCAGATAGAGTTGATAAAGTTCATCGCTTTTGTTCAATCCAAGATTTAAAAGTTTCAAGGCAAGTTCTGTACTATTTCGTAATCCATACAGTTTTCCCATGTATTTAAGTAATGCATTACGATAGGAAACATTATTCCATAATGAAAATTTCTCTTCATTCGATTCCATCCATTCAGTAAACTCCATAGTTTCCATTGACACTCGATAATCTATTCAACAAACATTCTTTTTCTTATTAAACGGATAAAATAGTACTACAATCAATTTTATGTGTAAAAAGATCTTCACACTAATGCACACAATTTGTAAACCTTACTATTTGTAACATTTGATGTGATACTTCGATGATGTTCTACAAGCAATGTACGTTCTACTTGAATCTTATTTTCGCAATTTGCATCATCATTCGGAACACTCTTTGTTTGTATTGATGATAAATTTTCTCTCGACAGAGTAATTATATACTTTGACTTTGAAGGTCTATGCAGAACTTATTGGATAGAAAAGTCTTTCTTTCGCTAATCGATGGATTTTACCAGAAATTTTCTCTTCTAAATTTTGAATTCGATTTTGATGAAGAAGATTTTCTTTTTGTAGATCTTGAATATTCTCCTGAAGAACGCTGATTCGAACGAATGCATCGTTTAACAAATTCCGCATCTCCTGAATTTCACTCGCATCGATCATTTTCGACATGTCATGATGATTTATCTGAAAGAAAATTGTTCGATTCGTTTTATCGAAAAGCAAAACAAAATCATTGTTTTTGATAAATTGAATAAAATAATCGTTGTGGATTGTTTCCTCGATAAAATAACGTTGCAAGAGGAGAAAACCCGAAGTTGCTCAGCTTGTCATGCCATTGTTGACACAATTGATATCGAATTGTTTTCGTATATTGAAGAATTTCGGATTTTTGTTCTTTCCAATCAAGATTTTCTTTATTTTGTTCATCGGAAATATTTGCGAATTCTCCAACACGTGAAATCATCATTATCGCATGAACAAAATGAAGATATTTCGTTGGTAATGATCGACTATTATCACAATCATGTTCACGAAGAATTAAATAACCACCTGGCCGAAGAATTCGAACAATTTCCTTCACAGTTTTATCAATTTCTGATATATGATGAAACGTGACGAATGAAGTTGCCAAATCCACTCGATTATTCGCTAAATTCAGAACACAACTCAATATTCCAGGAAACAAAAACATTAATACGAACGAAGATCAATTTTCGATTGATTTGCATCGATTTGGACAAATGAAATCTTATTAAGTTGTCCTTTGAACACATCACCACCGAGAATATTTTCTTTATTTAAATGTAAATATTCTCCAATAGCTGATGTGATCATTCCATCTCCACATCCAAGATCGAAATATGATTGAATCTTTTCACAATTGATTATTTGTGTTAAATTTGATGGAAAAACATCGAAAATACAATTCTGCAATGAAGATTTCGGATTAAATTCAAAAATAAACTTCAAATCATTGATTCGACGAGTAATTCGAGAATGATCTTCCCATTTACCAATTGACATTTGTGCTTCTAAAACACAAATTCTATAACATACAATCAATTTTGTTAGATTCAAACCATCTTTATGTTTCGTTTCTTCAATTAATCGATGCAAAATATCCAAATCATCAGTTTCATCGATATTTTGCATTACTTGAGTGAATATTCGATACATATGAGCACTTTGGTCATAAATTCTTCCCAAATATGTTAATAACGCTTTTCGATATGTTTCATTTGACCATAACGATTCATCTGATGATAATGAACACATCCAATCAATAAAATCATCCTGTTTCATCGTAGTTTTGTTTTGACGACGATTGCGATGACCTAAATTCGTCTATAAGATGATTTATTCGATGTGAATTTTCGATATTGAAGAAAAAATTACAAATGCAAGTTGTACAAGACGTTGCTGATCGGATGAAATTGTGATTTGAAGATTTTTACGATTTCTATTGGGTGAATTCACATTTTTCGTTGAAGAATTGTCTGAAAATTTTACAGATTAAAGTTATTTATTGTTGAGAACAACTCACATCTACGATTTAAACGATTGTTGGATTTCACTGGTTGTTTTTGTATTTGATTTTCTAAAATAAATTTTCTAAACATTTTTTATGATCTCAAAATATTTACCATTCTGTTTTGAATTGTTAGATATTAATGAATAATCACTAATTTCCTAAATTAAAAATAGATTTATCTAATAAAATTACGATGAAAAACCATTTTCATACATAATCATTATTTGAAATTGATAATTGTAATATCTAATATCATTCTAAATTAAAGATTATCAATAAAACAAAATCAATACTAACTGATGCATTTAATTCATCTTGATCATAATCATCTAATGCATGATTTACATTTGTATTTGTACTAAAAGAATATCAAACAAATCAAATAATACTTTTATACATATTTCCTACTTTTGATGATTATTCATAGAAAAAACTAACTAAAATAAATAGAAAAGAACTTCGAAAAACAAAATGAAAAAAAAAGCATCTAATCATACAGCTAATCCTTCTTTTACAAGAAGATCATTCAAAGATTGATCATCAAGATCACGAATGACAACGTTTAACACTTCATTTGTTTCTTTATATGGATAAATTTTAAAAGGACCACCTCGACATAAATATTTCAATCGATTAAAAGTTTTTTGTGGTAATTGATAATTATGAAGTAGAAATTCAATTCCATGAAGTCGACAAGCAATCGTCAAACATGGATATTCAGCAAAACAATTAAGTAAATATTTTAATTGAATACAATCTTTTTTAATTTGTTTTCTTAAACCAATATCAACATAATTGATCACATATGTTGATTCATGAATTTCATCAACAAACAATCGATGATAAATATCTTCATATTTGCCAACATATGCGTGATGAACATTCACTTGTTTAACTATAAATTGTTCAGATATTGAATTTGAATAATAAATACTATGAAAATTTAGAAATTAAATTTGAATTTGACAAAAAAAAAAGAAGATGAATTTTACTGAAGATTATTTGTTAATTGTTCCATATATTCTGTGTCATTTTCCGATCGAATGTAAATCAATTGATTTTGTTGATCAATATTTGATATATAAGCAAAAAATGGTTCGTTAGTGAATGTCAAAGGATTNGTGATGAACATTCACTTGTTTAACTATAAATTGTTCAGATATTGACTTTGAATAATAAATACTATGAAAATTTAGAAATAAAATTTGAATTTGACAAAAAAAAAGAAGATGAATTTTACTGAAGATTATTTGTTAATTGTTCCATATATTCTGTGTCATTTTCCGATCGAATGTAAATCAATTGATTTTGTTGATCAATATTTGATATATAAGCAAAAAATGGTTCGTTAGTGAATGTCAAAGGATTTGGACTATAAAGAAAATCATTTGAAATAATTCCAGAGGTAGTAATTTGTTCAAAGAAAGAATTCTCATCATTTTCTACATTTAATGGTGATGTTAATACAATTAGTTTATTGTAAAGATCTGGAAGTATTAATTGGATTAATTCAATCGATAAAATTCGTTGAAATTTATTCTAAATAAATATTAATTAATGATTTATTTTCGAGAAAATCTAAACAAACTTTGTAAAGTTCATCAAGTTTTGTTAAAAAATCTTCATTTGGATTTTCACTCAATAACTAAAAAAAATGAAAATAATTATTCGTTATTAAATAATTTCACTTACACTTGTTATGCTCTTTGTGATTTCATTTGTCTTATCTTCAATATTTCTATTAGAATTCATCTCAAAACAAAAAAAAGAATGACAAAATTTTCCCAAGCTGTTTGACAATTAATTCACATATTTTCTTGAGAAAAAAACGCATCAGCTTTCTATTATTCGATTTTCCATTAATCGCAAATGACGCTTGACTTTCAAAAAAAGAAAAAAAGAAAGACATACACAATGAAATTTATCTTTTCGAGATAAAAATTCATTTACATAAACAAAATTCTCCTTTACAGACAAACAAATTTACTAAAAGAAACATTTGTGAATCACATTGTGAGTATTTTTATAGAAAAATAAAAATCTTTTTTTCATATGAATTACGAAATTCACAATTGTATTTTGTTGATTAAAAGAAATGAAATGAAAAATCTTCAGTCGATTTATTTCGTGTAGAAAGAACGAAGAAAAAACAACAACAAAACTTTTCTTTTCATAACAAATCCAATGTTTTGTTTCTTTTACCGATTATTTTTGTATTTTTAATTTCAATAATGTTTACAAATCAGAATTCAGTTTGATTTCAGATATCTCATGTATTTTCATCTTGCATTA